CCTCCCCTGGGGCCCGTGGCTCCTCTTCCCTGAGATCCTCCCCTTGGCCCAGAGACCCCTCCTGGTCTCTGCCCTCTGCCCCACGCCCTTTACCTCTCCCAGCCCCGCCCCTCCCTGCCTCCCTCGCCCCCTCCCACTTCTCCCACCCTCTTGACCCGGCGTCCTGTTTCCCTCCCGCAGGAGTGAACCGACACTTCCACATGATTTGTATCCGAGACAAGTTCAGCCAGAACATCGGTCGGCAAGTCCCATCCAAGGTCATCTGGGACCACCTGAGCACTATGTACGACATGCAGGCCCTGGTGAGCTGGACCCCCACCTCCTGCGCGGGTGGAGGAAGGTCAGGTCAGATGCAGCCAGCAGCAGAGACCCAGAGCTCACGAGATGTTAGGAAAGCAGGCTGGGGACAGGGCTGGTGAAGGTCAGGAAGTCCACTTTGGATTGATGGTGGCCAGCAAGTCTCCAGGGAGACCAGTGTGGGCTGAGACCTCAGGGAGAAGCAGCCGCCACCGAGAGACAAGAGTCAGGAGCCCCAAAAGGGGTAGGTGGAAGGGGATCCTAGATCTGAGTCCCACCAATCAGAGGTGTGGGCTCCGTGGGAGTCAGATGAGTCCCCCTCCTGGAGGTGGGAGCTCACAGGTGGCTGGTGCAGCGGGGATGGAGTGGGTGGGGACTGCAGGCTTTGCTTGCTGGCCTGCTCAGGAGCTGTGGGGGTCAGCAGGGCTTCTGCTCTTTCAGGGCTGGCACAGCCCGGTCCCTGCATGCTCGCTTCCAGGAGTAGGAACAGCATTTTCATACTTAGTCTTGGGTCCTTTGTACATTTTTTTTTCTGATGGAAGGTGAACTCAGCCTCAAGCCGGGCAGGAAGACGCTGCACCTTCTGAGCCACACCTTTAGCCCTGCCGTGCCACGTTACTGACCAGATAACACTTTTTCTTTCTTCTTGAAAATACAAAACACTGTGTGCATCAGCATGAATCTGAAATTCTTCCCTTCCCGAATCCAGAGAGGAACTTCGTCCTTCCAGAAGAAATCATTCAGGAGGTCCGAGAAGGTGAGCGTGGGCCCAGGTCCGGCCTGGGCGTGGAAAAGGCCACATGGGCGCCGGGTGGGGGCGTGGGGGTCCCACGGAGACCCTGTGCGCCTGCACCTGGGCGGCCTTGGAACCCGCAGGATGGGGGGCTCTGCTGGAGAGCAGTCTCATGATGGATGCCGTCTTGTGACGGACGCCATCTCCTGATGGACGCCGAGGCTTGTGTGGGCAGCGAGAGTCAGAAGCAGTCCTGGCCCGACCGTCCCCCAGCGCTGGCCAGCACCGTGCGTTTCCAGTGAACGTCAGCTGTCTCCTCCACAGGAAAAGTGCTCATTGAGGAAGAGGTGAAAGAGGAGATGAAGGAAGATGTGGACCCCCACAGCGGGGCTGATGATGGTGAGCGCGGTGCTCCTGTCCCTCACCCATACCAGAGGGGTGCCCTGCCTCCCCCCTACCCCACACCAGAGGGCTCCCCACCTCCTATACCATAGCAGAGAGGCTCCCCACCTCCCCTCTGCCTCCCATCTCCCCATACCAGGGGTCCTCCCCGCCTCCTCCACCACCACCCCCACACCAGAGGTGGTCAGGCGGCCTAGGGTCTTCAGGTCACGCCCAGCAGAGGTCATGTCAAGCATCCCCATGCAGACGCGCTACCATAGCCACAGCCACCACCGCCCCTTCCCTTGGCATTGTGGCCAAGCCTGGGGTCTGGGGCCACGGCTGTGCCAGGCTCTTCAAGCCTAGGGACGCCCCCTGGGCTCAGAGGGTCACTTGTAGATGGCAGGCTTTCTAACTGAACAGGAAGATGAAATGAGACTCTGTACGCTTTGTTTTCATCAAATGATTTTGTTTCTCAGTTTTTTCATCTTCAGGGAGCTTGGGAAAGGCATTAGAAAAATCCAGCAAAGACAAGGAGAAGAACTCCTCAGACTTGGGGTGCAAAGAAGGGGCGGACAAACGGAAGCGCAGCCGGGTCACCGACAAAGTCCTGACTGCAAACAGCAACCCCTCCAGCCCCAGCGCCGCCAAGCGGCGTCGAACATAGCCACTGGCAGCGCGGGAGAACGCTGACGCTGCGGTCCTTGCTGCCTGCTTGGGGGCCCTGGGGAATGTGGCCATCCAGAGAGGCGCCTGTGTGGGTCCCACCAAGTCATGGAGGCCCCAATGAACCCCAACAGCCAGGATGAGATGCACACAGATGGTGAGGCCCCTGAAACCATCTTGTATTTTTCCTGACTGGCCACCACTCTGCAAGAGGGGAGCGGGGGAACGGAGCCAGAAGACCAGGAGTCCACAAGCAATAAACCGCCATCCTCACTGTCTTCCTGCGCACCCGGCCTCTGCATCTGCTTGGCCCTCTGCGGCTCCTCTGCACCGACATCTGCGGAATGAGAACGTGCGTGGAGGCCACCACACCGCCCTGGTGGCCGCCCTCCCCACTGGGGAACAAACTGGATTTTTGCCTCATTCACTTGTACTGTAATGTTGTATATAATTTGGTTGGTACTTCGTTATTTAATTTTTTAAGAAACCTATTTTGCTAGTGTTTTATATGAGAAAGTACTGCAAATGTTAAACCTGTGTTGTATTTTTCCTGAGGTGTTTTGTTTTAAGGTAACAACTACTGAGATACTTTTTGCTCAGTTTTTATATGCCAGAAACAGAAATTTGTAGCGGTTATTTTTGTAATTCTAGTAACCTGCAAGAAGACTATGAGAGGACGCAGTGCTGGTTGAAGTACACTTTCATTTGACTACAGAACATTAAAAGTGCAGAGTTGATCTGGAGTTGTGTGGCTTTAATACCAAAGTAGGTTAAGTTGTTTTTTTGTGTTTTCTGCAGTCTGAGTTTTGTTTTGCTTTCC